CGTTAAGCGTCTGCCTTCGGCTCAGGTCGTGATCCCGGAGTCCTGGGATCGAGCCCCACATCGGGCTCCCTGCTCCGCGGGAGGCCTGCTTCTCCCTCTCCCACTCCCCTCGCTTGTGTTCCCTCTCTCTCGCTGTCTCTCTCTCTGTCAAATAAATAAATAAAATATTAAAAAAAAAAAAAAGTGCAAAGTAGACTTCAAGATCAAAATAGGAAACAAGATCAGAAAACAAATCTAAACTGAAGCTAGTTGGGAGGCTGTCAATGTATCAAAAAAATGAGTATATTGGGGCGCCTGGGTAGCACAGTTGTTGGGCATCTGACTCTTGGTTTCGGCTTGTGGTCTCCAGGTCATGGGATCAAGCCCTGCATCCTGCTCTGCACTCAGTATGAGTCTGCTTGAGACCCTCTCTCTCCCTCTGCCCCTCCCCACTGCTCTCTCTCTCTCTCTCAGATAAGTAAATAAATCTTCTTAAAAAAGATGACTATAGGTGGCACTTCCTTTTTTTAAAAAAGATTTTATTTATTTATTTATTTGGGAGAGAGAGAGCATGCGTGTGTTAGGGGTGGGCACAGGGAAAGAGAATCTCAGGCAGACTCCCCACTGAGTGCGGAGCCTGACCCCAGGGGAAGAGTGGGGCGCGCTCAATCTCATGGCTCTGAGATCATGACCTGAGCTGATATCAAGAGCTGGATGCTTAACAGAGTCACCCAGGCTCCCCTAGGTGGCACTTCTTAATCAAAGTGATCAGTTTTTGTGATATATTTGGAGTAAATTAACTATGTTCAAAAAAAAGAAATCATATAATGAGTGGCCTGAGGTGTTAGGGTTCTCACAGATTAAGAGAAAGCTATAAAACCTTGTTAGTATATCTGGAAATATCAAAGGGAGGTATTATTTGGAAGAAACCTTAGAATCAAGAAAGGGAAGTATCAGCCTGTTTTAATTTATTCCCTTTATTCTCATGTCATGTTCAAACAATTTCTTAGTTGTAATTAGTTGCCTTATATACATCCCTGTGTGTGTGTGTGTGTATACACACATACACACATATCCTGAATAGGGAGGGACTAAAGGATATAAACATCTCTGGCTCTCAAATCAGGTATAAGATGTCATCCACTACAAATTAACAGGGGTATCCTAGTTTGAAAGGTAGTTTTTGGTAAATTTGGTTAGCATGAATCAGATTAAAAAACAACTATTTTTGAGCACTTGTATTTGGGATACACACACACACACACACAGACATTCACACATCATCTCATTATTCCTTACAACTCTCACATGTGGTTGAGATTTTATATTTGATGGTACTTCCCCTAATTAATCAGATATTAAGTGAGTACTTACTATGCACCAGGCAGTATGGCAACAGTGACAGGTATAAAAATAAGCAAAAGCAGTCAGTCTTTAAATTCATGGGGCCTTCAGTCCAGTGGAGACAAATAGAAGAGGACACTGAGGCACAGAGAATTTAAGAGCCAGTTTCTTTTCTGTAATGTCAGTTATAGCTATAGCAACTTTCACCTCAATAATCATAGCATTCTGTTTCAAGGATCATGAGAATTCTAGAAGCAATGAACCTGAGATTGAGAATATTTAAAAAATATTATTCAATTACTTAGAAGAAACTTATTTTAGAAAAGGAACAAAAAATACGGTCATTCCATTTTCTATTAAATTTAATTTCAAACAGTCTCTGCATACTTTATCTAATACAACTTATTGGCCTTGAAATGAGACTGCTGTTAGAATATGCTTAGTGGATCCAAAAATCAATCCATCACTGGTGTCTTGGTCTTGATATCAACTCATTTTATAATTGAGGAAAACACATGTGTCTGCCTTTTTTTTTAGATTTTTTTTTTTTTTTT